TTCATATAGTCTGACGTGATCCCTACACATTATTTGTAATTGAGTTCGTCATTCAGAATTCTTTAATTAAAATTGTTTGTAATCTCATCTTTCAAGTCTTCATACTTGATAGATTTGTTTAAGTTCAACGTGTAGATTTGGTAAAGTTAAGAGTTAGGCGGATCCTAATGTCTTGATCGCAGTAAGCCGTAGTTAAGAAATTTTGAGTAGAAATTTGATAACGTGACTACCTCGAGTTGAAGAATTCCACGGTGATAATATAAAAAAGATACCTTATGGTATTTTTCATCTCTTTATAATTTTATAAAAAGTTATGATTTATCTTTCTGCTGAAAAAAGCTAGAATTTGTGCCTTATTTGAAGGAAAATTTCCCTTCTACTATATAGCAAATAAGAAAGATGTTTTCTAATCAACTGTTATAAGAACTAAGTAACATAAAGATAAATCTGATAATAATAAAGATCAGCCTAAATCTGAAAGTCTGTAATTCTTAACTGGTTGATATAAACAAAAAATTTTGAGATTAATTATAACAGGTGAATGTAACAATGCTGTTGTAATTCAAAAATAATTAAAAATAGAAGAACAAATTAAAGTTAGTAAATGTATAATAAAAGAACCTTATATAAGTGTAAAAGTTAAGTATAAAAAACTATATTTTCAAAAAACACTAGAATTGCAAGGATGAAATTTGCAAAAAAATATAAATCATGGACAGTTAAAGATTAGAGTAAAGTGGTTTAGTCAGATGAGTCAAAATTTATGATTTATAGATTAGATGATAGAGAGTATTATTAAAAAAAGCCAGGAGAACTATTTCATAATTATCAATAGTTAAATTTGAATGGGATAATATTATGGTGTGAAAATGTTTTATATCTGATGAAGTTAGTAACATATGCTGAATTTATGAACATATGGTAATTTATATCATCAAATTTTAAAGGAAGACCTATTAGGAACTATCATGTAGCATGGAATGGATTAGGATAATATTATTTTTCAACAGGATAATAATCCTAAACACATTGTACATCTTACAAAGCAATGGTTTAAAGATAATAGAATTAAAGTTCTTGATTGACCAGCACAATCCCCTGATTTAAATCCCATAGAACACCTTTGGAATGAAATGGATCATCATCTGAAGTGGCTTAGAACACCTGTTAGAATACAGAATCAGTTATGGGATACAATTCAAAATATTTGGGTTGAATTGGGATCTGATATATGTAAAAAGTTGGTTGGTACTATGCTAACTCATATGAATGATGTAATTAGAGCAAATGGTGGCTATATACAAAATGGTAAATAATTATTTACCAAAGTTTTAATATAATTGGATTGATTTTTGATTTTTGATTTTTTTTATATACATAAAAAATTTAATAAAAAACGATCAAAAGAAAAGGATCGCCTAATTGATTAAAAATAAATATTTTTTAAAAATTTATCTTATTAATATACCTTAGTATTTAATTGAGTATCTCAGCAAATATATGAACCTTTACCTGTTTTAGTCTCGCAACAGCATGGAATATCTTTAGAAGATATGCAAAAGCAATCCAAAATGCACTGGCATAACAAAAAACTGAAAACTAGGCATTAGTAAAGAAAGTTACAGAATTACAATCACATATATTGAATAGACTTAGTTATGATAAGTCTAATAAATAATTTATATATGACACTGTGCCTTATTAATAACAAGAAAATGACTTTTTAAAATTTGTATTCAAGGTGATGCAATATTTTTGAGCGACACTGTTCATATACAAAAAAAAACCATGTTATACTAACCGATTGCTATATTTCCCTACTATAACTAATGATAATATATTGTTCCGGTACAAAGCGGCTACTACATTTCGACAATAAATCATAAACTAGGTAACCTTTAACTTCCATAATGCAAATTACACTGGATGCAAATTATTTGAACTAGATCATCCTTTTTTTCCTGTATTAATTACATAAGTCTTATTTATGAGAAACCAGGTAAATCGTGTCCATAATCGGATCAAAGTTCTAATAATTCCGTTGCAAGATGCAGGAACCCGCATACATTTGCATTAAAAAACAAAAACAAAATATTCTTTCATTTATTAACTTATTAATATCATGATGTTACATAGGTTAAGGTCTGGAGGTTGGAAAAGCGATAATTTACGGTATTTTTTAATGTCAAATGGCGCAGTTAAAAACCCCTCACAAACAAGTTACGCAATATGATTGTTTTTAATAATACATTTCGTCGTCAATGCATCTTTGAATGATACTACATTGCAAAATGTGTACTTTGTAATCTTATTTATCTATCTAAAGAACATTAAAAGAAGGTTTTATCATAAAATAAATCACCTAAAAAATATTACATATTTCAAAGTGCGACAGTGTAGATTACGTAAGTTTTTTAAAAATTACTCATTTATATTTTTCTATAAAAATAAGACAAACTATTTAGACTATATATGGGAAGATTGCTAGGAAAAATCAGGCTATGGGAATTTTTTAACAAAATTTTGATTTTTATTCCGCAAACTTCCCACCCATATAATATCGAATTTCAAATTTTCATCATATCAAAATTTTGTATAATTTGAGATAATTCACTATGTAACGCATGTGATGAAGAATCCTTATTATCAAGTTGTTGTTCCGATAATTGGTCATTTAAATTATAATCGCCAGTTTGCTCATTTGCCGCAAGGTTACTTTTTGTAAGAATAGCTTTAAATTTACCAACCGCTTCAACTACTTTACTCATATCTGGACGATTTTCTGGTTCATAATTCCAACATTCTAAAAGTAAACTGAATGGTCAAAAAATATTGTGATAATTATAATAGAATTTAATAAATATATTTACCAGTATAAACTTTTACATAATCTTCGGGAGTATCAGGAATAATTTCTTCTCTGCGACCTTCCGAAATACTTTTAATTAGGTCGAAATCATATTTTTCAATATCAAAAGGAGCATATCCACTTGATATCTCCCATAAAAGCACACCAACACTGTAGACATCACCCTTTTCGTTTAGCTTATATTGTAATGAGTTAAACCTTTTTGGGTCAATATAGGGAATTATACCAAAATCATTTGATAATTCAGTTTCTTCTTCAATTCCTTTTGATAATCCAAAATCCCCCAGTTTTATACAATTTTGGTGAACAAATATATTGTTGGAATGCTATTTATTTATATAAAAATTGTCAATATTTTAAACAATATTTTTAATAAAAGCAACATAAAATTATTTACCAAATCACGATGCACAATTCCTTCATCATGTAAGCATGATACAGCACTGGCCAATTGAAATGCCAAATCGTATTTATCGTTCCAGGTAAGCTCATTAAAGATTTCCTTTAAATGGTTTCGAAGAGTACCTCCATCAGCATATTCCATTACTAACAAATACTTTGAACGATCATTTCGATTTTCTAAATAAAACCTTAAGTTACAACATCTTTACTTTAAATTTTAAAATTTCAATAGTAATTATTAGTACCTAGATCGGAAGATATGCCATAAAAGCGAATAATATTATCATGAAAATCAACTTTTCGTTGAAGTTTAATCTATATGAAAATTACAAAAATTATCTATATGATGAATAATTGATGACAAGTATGTAAAAACATTGTGTCAAATAAATTATTACTACGATCGCGTGAGGGTAAAATTTTGGATCAAATTTACCTCGTGAACGATTTCTTCAACTGTGACCATATTGGAGTTAAAAGATTTCAGTGCAAAATATTTGTTTAATTTTTTCCAATTGGCACGATAGACTATTCCGAATCCTCCTCTTCCAACCTCTTGAAAATTGCTAAAATAATTGTATTCATAATATTTAATATGATCTTTAGAAATAGCTTCTTTAATCCAATTATCAAGTAACTGCAACGGTTTATATTCCATAGCTTTATTTGAAAAGAATAAAGATGCAAATATTTATAGAATTATTTTTGATGGATTTTTATATTTTTTCAGCTCTTCGATATTAAATGTGATCAAAAAAACTTTACAAAGTATTAAAAAAATGTCAATTTTACACTAAAATTTCTGGACTTTCTAATGTTAATAAAATGTATTTGCTTTATAAAAATGATATTGATTTATATATAAATTTATAATGTATAATATATTTTGGTTTAGAAAATAATTTGGATTGACTGATGATGTTAAAGATGCTTTTATATATATATATATATTTTTTGATGTGTAACGACGTATAAAAATAAAAATACACTTTTTTTTTTTCTTTTATTGGACTTATTCATAGAAGGTGATTATTACAGTAATGAATATTAATTAGGCAGCAAGTTCGCGTCAGTATAAAATACTTGTACATAATATAAAATTTTTTTTATGATGGTAAGGATCAGCAGGCCGCCGATCTTATTTTAATTCATATTTATACAATTTGACACGTTTTGAATTTGGGTTGTACGAAAATTGAGTTTTATTCCCTTCAGCCACACACGAATTCTCCAAATTAAGAAATTAAGAAATAATTCTATTCCTAAACGCGCTGAATAAAAAAAAAAATTTTCTGTTATGGCGTACATATGAAATTTCTCAAGAACATTACTTACGAATTTCATTTGAGGTAAGTATATTGTGAATTTTTGTTATTCTGAATATTGTTACGATATAGGGATATACTCGTTATAACTTGTTTTGGATAGATTGGAAATCATACACTGATTATATGGGAAAGAGTCGCGGGATTTACTTTATATTCAAATATGATTTTTAGGTCAAAATATGTTCAGCTTTAGCATTTATTTAATCCCCTTTTCTATTGCAAAGGTCACATATTGTTTGAACGATGACACGTGATAGTATTTCAAGTACGAGATTAGACGAAGCGTTTCCGAAGATAATTACCTACTAGGAGCTCTTTTTGTACGAGCTTGTAAGCCGTTAAGCGCGATGGCAGTCTAGTTAATAAGTTACTACCATAACCCATCGTGTAAGTCTACATAGTCGCATCGGCCTTTCTCAGCTTACAATTTACAATGTACTCGGAAGGTTCTCGACTCACACAAACATTTACTAAGTAATATATTTATATGTAACGGTTAGATAAAAGAAATTGAAAAATCTAACATCAACTGGTTGTTGCATATTCTTAACCCAGTACCTCTCAAATTTTACCGATATTTGAATCGTAAGACGAAACATATCGCTACCAATGCCTTCACTCATGCGCTTTCAAGGTCTTAAAGATGTCAGGTGTTATTAGCGAAGAGAGGATGGGAATGCTTAGAAAAATTCAGCAAATGTGGAAGGTGAGTCTTATTTAATGTAGGATGATGTTTTCAAAAGTGACTGGAATAAGTATTTTGCGGAAAGATCAGCACATATGTCCATCAAACGAGTTACAACGTTCATTAATGTTTTGTCATTGATTGATCAGAAACGAGAGCACGATAACCATCAGCGGTGCGCACTGATGGGTACCAACCTCAAGATAAAAAGGATCACACCAAACTAGGGATGGGGACGGTTCAAAAAGAGCGACTCCGAGTCGATTCTGGAACCGATTATAATACCATTTTTAACCAATTTTAAAAATTGGACCAGAACCGACTCCGGACCGGTTCCAAGAGTCGGCTCAAAATCGGATTGTCATCAATTTAAAGGTAATAACAGGACGAATTTGTTTGATAACCAGTCAAAAAAAATTTGTAAATTGATCATCACATGATGCTCTATTAGTATAAATTTAACTTAACGCCAAAGTTTTAATTTACTTAAGAGTCGAAGTAGAACCGAAGAGGAACCAAAATGGAACTGATAGAATCATCTCCATCTCTACACCAAACACGCTATAACTAGTGATACAACCAAGAAGGTTAGTATGAATCAACTCACAAATAATAAATAGTTTGTAAAATTCTCAAAATTTTTTTTACTATTGCATGTGTATTTAGCGAAAGGATAGGCCAGAAGTGCAAGACGAGTATGAAACGGATGATAGTGACGAAGAAACGTTTATATTGACGAATGAGGTGAAGTTGAAGATCATGAGAATCAAAATGATGGTGGAAACGATGATATTGATAGACACCCGTGCTAAAGTTGATAAAGAGGCATTTCGTCAATTATTCGAAAAAATACCAGAAACAGAAAAATTAAAATTAAGTTCTGGATATACTTTTCAATTACGTAAAAGACAATGATTACGAAGAGTAAGTATTCAAAAAACTCATTTTGCTTTTCTTTTATCATAAATTATGATGATCAAGGTATTAGAGGGTTGTTCAATGACGAAGAATGGAAAGAAATGACTGAGGATCGATTAGGCATTCCTGATGTTCCATTTAAAATCGACCACTTTTGATTTGAGTATATAGTATTTAATTACGGTACGATAAATTATTTATAGGTACGATCAATTAATTATATATAGATAAATACCAATATAGCGAATTATTAACGGTGATCATTAACTCTATATTTTTGGGAACGTTTTAAACTAGTTAGTTAAATATATTTGCTTAAATCAACCTTAATTTGCTTAGATTTTTTAGCGCGTCTAATTCATTTTCTAGATAGCAATATTTGTTGTTTTAATAAAATATTTCTAATAAAATAATTTGCATATCGATATGTATTAGATAATACAATTAATTATAATTTCAAGCATTATTGAATAATAAATATAAGATATTTAAAAATAAAAAAAATTTTAAGTATAATATATGATCGCTAAATTAAGTCTAGTAAATATTTAAGTTACTGCAACTTTGAAAAATCTGGGAAATGACGAAATTTATTGAACGTAACTTTTCTTTATTTGTTAGCGAGAAAAAAAACTTGAGAGGTAATATAAATTTAGATTATATATACGACATAACTTCATAAAAATCTAAAAGAATTGAAAAAAAATTTTGGATAAATAAAGTTGCAGGTACGTAAGTTGCAGGTACGTACTAAAGATGCAGGTACGTTTTTTAAATAAATAGGATCGTACCATGCACACAATATCGATAGTATTTATATATACATACAGAGTTATAGATGCGGTATGATTAGTAAAAAATATTCGTACCTGCAAAAATTTTATAGTACCGTATCCAAATGACGAAATCGTAACGTAACCATTTAGGGGATACCTCATACATACAAAACATACAGTACATTGCTAACCGTACTGTAAAGGTTTATAGTAGAAGTCTTAGAGGTGACACCGAATGTGAGTTCTGATTTTGGTAATTTTTAATTAAATTATTTTATAGACCACGTGTTGCTCGCTTTGTATATCGCGATGGCTAGTGATTCGGCGGTTCAGACCAGCTTTAAAAGTAGCCAGGAGGGCTTGATTCTGAGTACAATGGCATATAGGACATACGAGCCTTAGTCGGGATGTTCGGGCGAACATTAAAAAAAAAAAAAAAAAAATTAAATTATTTTATAGATTATACTAAAATTATTATCTTTGTGCACAAAAAAAACTTCCAAAGCGTTCTTGTAGAATATTTTTTTTTTAAAAGCGAAATAAAATTCGTGGCTTTTTTTTTTTTTACCTACCTACGCGATTATTTTTAATATTTTATCTCGTATTAGAATATCCACTTACCCAGGTGTTGGTTTCTTCTCCTGTAGTCATTAAAGACTTATTTTATGTTAGCGAAAATAAATCACGAGTTGGAATGAGTCTAAGCGTTTTATTGGATTTTTTTTTTTTTTTACTTATTTTTTTCTTTTATTTTAAATTACGTATTTATTTTTTATTTTCGCGCCAAAACGGAATTTTATTTTTGATCATCCTCGTGTCACCATCTTTTTGATCAGAGGGGAACGAAAAACTATATGGGACCTTTGCAATAGAAAGAGGGGAAACAGCCGGAAAAAATCAATTTTACTTTTATATGCCAAAATGATTTTAGGTCAAAATTACTTCTATTGCAAAGGTCCTCAATTCTGATTGATCGGATTTTTGAGTTAACGATTATTGGCCAAAGACCTTATTTCTGCGAATCAGATTTACGAACACGTTTTAAATTAATAATAAAGCGGATCATTACACTTTATTAAACAAACTAATCTACATATAAAAAATTATATCCGTTTTCGATTAGTAAAAGAATTTTAAAATTTTAAAATAAAAAAAAAAAATTCTTTGAAAATTTTCGTGTAAATCGAATTTATTGTCATTATGATAATGACACCAATGTGTGTGATAAAGATTCATGTGGTAAATTCCTTCCGAGGTTTCTTAACATAATATATTAACGCGTCCGTCGCTCAGGAATTTTTTTATTATATAGTATAGATTCCTATCTAAAATTTATTATTTACTTATTACAACTATCTATTACTTCTATCACTATCATATTTCTTCATTTCCATATAGCGCAGTAGCAGCTAACTACTAAAGTCCCGTCGCTTGCCACTAGTTATTAATTAAAAATTTTTAAAAGAAATTCACGTGATGAAGGCGTATTAAAATAATCAACGATTGAAATAGTTTCATCATCCACCGAAACCAAATTACCATTTACATTATATAAGCGTATTCCCAATAGGGTTTTATTTTTTAACTCGTGTTACGATATGGTGCCCGTTAAAGATAAACGATTTTTGGTTATACAACTACGCTCCGTTGCTGAAATTTATTCATAAAATAACTAATTCACATTATCAAACCGCGGTTTGTACATGGTAAGTATAGGCGGGATATTAACAAAGCTTCATTCACAATTCGGCTTTATTTATTAATATGTGTGTATAAACATTTGTGGGACTTATTGCATTATACATGTATATCGTGGCACAATTAAAATAAACGCATATAAATATATATTTTTTATTTTTATGAAAAATGAATTATCTAGATTAATGATTTATCATTATTCTGTGGATGTTGTATAGGTTATATTTTGTCAGCAACGAATACAGTACCGAATGGAATATTCAGACAATGTTGCCGGATGTTTCGTTAATTCTTTGATGATATTAGGGAACTCTAAAATCGATCGTATTGCATACTCCATTAGATTAAAAACCTCAAGAAATTGAAATCGGAATTCCCAGCTAAGCGGAAAGATCGCAGAAAATTCTTCCTCATCAGCGTAGTCCTCCTTTCCCCTCAAAAAGATAGTTCTGAGCGTAAGACGATCACCTTTGACATAATGGTAAAAAAAAAAGATATGAACGAATTTGGTCCAAATAATGGTCAATCAAAAAATAATGTGAAAATTTCTGGGAAAATAGCTCTTACCAGTGGAATTGTATTTTATTTACAAAAGTTGCTTGTAGGTAGATAAATAGTAGAGATATTTTGTTGACTATCCAGTCTCGTTCAACTTCATTGATAGACATAACGTGTCTGAGAACATCAATCATTTTGTTGATGCTAGCAATTAATTGATGTTATTATCATACATTGATTAAAATGATATTGTAAATGCTATAAAGACAACCTACAAGTCCATCAGCACTTTTCTGATGTATCTAATCATAGTATCTTCAAATTTATTTTTTGCCGTATATGGACTTAAAGTTTGCATTTTGGTTTCCTCTATTAAAAACTTTAAAAAATAAAGTGTATATGACCCAAAGAAATTTCTTAATTTTCCCTAGTAAGGGAAAATTAAGAAACTTCTTTGGGTCATACACACAGTCGCCATTTGGTAGTTACTCTCATGATTAGATATTTTACCAACCTCCAGAATTTTCTCCAACCATTTACGCCAATCTACAACGTCAACTGTATTCAGATCATTCAGATCACTTTTTCCTTCTAACTTTTTTGATACAAATGGGTTTGTATTAGATAAACAGAATTAAAAGTTAGATACAACCATCAGGAAAAACTCATATGGTCTTTAAAGAAATATCTTTAGCTTCTTGAACTATCAATTTCATCAATAATAGTTATTTTAACATTTGTCTGAAAGTTAGAGGAAATTAAAATAAAAAAAAAATAGTCTCAACTTTGATTTACCTTAACTAGTAATTCACCGAGAATTTGGACTCTGCAATCTCTTAGCTCCTATTCCAAACAATATTTACTGATTTCTGATGGTGAATTCTTATATAGTTAATAAAGATGATAAAAAAGTTAAATTATAGAAATAATATTTAATATTGTTGATAATGATATAATGCATTTTTTATGCATATCAGTAAGTAAGTATACATGTAAAAGAATCACACATAATGAGTAAAACCATTACACTTTTTCTTCCTATTAAGTTAGAAAGTATCTAATCCTCTTTGAAAGCATCAAGAGGCGTAATAACAAGAAGTTTTATCTAGTATACACTTTTACATAGAACTAACCTTTAATTATTATTGCAATATTTACGCTTTTTCTGCCACTCTTTAATCAGACATTTCAGAGGATATTTAACTCATTACCTAATAAAGCATATGCACAATCCTGCTTTTATATAGTAACAAATTTTTTTGAATCTAAAATATATTGAACAACTCGACAGACCTACTTTGAAAGCTAGTATTTAACTAATACTCTGAAAGTCAAAAATTATAAACAATCTAGAACATTATATTCGACAAAAAGTTGAATACTCACTTTGTAAAAAAGGTTATACAAAAATGATAATTGCATAGATATTAATTACCCTTGACTAAATAGGACTTTTTATAAAAATTTATATGATCTTTACTCTATATTTAGTGATACCTCTATTATAAATTTTCAGATTTCTTCTTTAGGTAATTCTAAAAAAATCAGTTTAAATAATTTACCAACAACGTCTCTTTGACTATTTCTTAAAACTAATTTAAATAAAATAAATGTCTTTATCAATATGTCATTGAACATGATCTTGATCTTGAAAAATTTTCAATTATTACTAAGACTGAAAAAAAAAGATAGAATGGTAAATCTTTTCACATATCCTGAAAACTGATATATAATTTTATTGTGACGCATAGGAATATTATGATAATAAGTATACAGATATCTTAGTATTTATTAATGGGTAGTACTTTAAGATATTAGTAAGACATTTCACAAGAGTAAGAGTATAGTGAGAATATAATGAAGGTATCATTTTGATTATCAAAACCCATTTCTAACTAATTTAAGTTATAGCAGAAATTGTAATCACAAGAGTTTTATAGCAGGTCTTATTTTTTCTCCTTGAAAAGATCTTTTCTATTCTCAATATTTATAGATGTTTTTATTCAACTCAATAGAAAGGAAGGGAGATCCTAGAAAATATTATAAATTTCTAACAGATCGTAAAAGGATAATTGTGAAGAGTTATTGCATCATGATATTTTAAAAAATCAGTTAAGTACTGTAATCTTATAAAAGAATGAGAACAAATTCATATCCAGTTTTTGTTCAAGCCTAAATATTGAGATAAGATGATCATATAAAATCGATCACCTGATATGAATGCGCAGTATGATGCTGTGTAATAGTGATTACAAATAACTATATTATTTGGCTATTTTGAAATGATTATTCTGAGATCATTTGATCATTTGGTCATTTAAATATATACAGGCTAAATTTTTAGATACTGATTAGAATTTTAAATTTATATCATATAAAATATTTATGAAAATATTCAAAATATTAAATTACATTAATTTTTTTGACTAGAATTATTAAGATCACATGATATAATTTTTAAATGATCAAGTCATTTGTCATTTAATAATAATTAGTCATTTGAGTTATTTGAAATCATTTGGATCACTTGCCATCACTAGCTGTGTGATGTATATTCATACACATATAACAAAAAATTTTGCATTCTAATTTCTTACTTAAATATGAAATAGGATTACAGTATATCGTAATGTAAAAGTAGCAAGAAAATACCCTTTTCTCTCATGATTCAAAAATAAAATATATAAACAGACCTGCCTTCTTGAAGTTAAAATAGTGAAAAATTTCTTAAAAAAATTGTTTTTGCAAAATGATCGAAGTCTTGACACTTTATCTTTTTTTTTAAATAATGTAAGGAAAAAAAGTAGTTATAAAAGATAGGCTGTGTAGAATATAATGAAAAGAATAGACTTTAATTTGAATCACAGGTAAAGTCCTATACTTGTATTTATTTTTTCTATATTAATAAAGTAAATTTTTTTACATTTATCACATAATATTGAATATTTCTTGTTATGCATAAAATATTTATCAATTATAACGAGAAACTTATTACTGAAAATGCCTTCCTTTCTTGAATGATTAGAGCTTGATACCTTCTTTTAAAAATATTAAATTGTATTAAAGATGCAAGGAGCTTAATATCAGCTTCATAATACTAGCTGATATAAAGATATTAAAAACTCAAAGATATTATTAATCGTGATTAGCAAAAAAGATGCATTTGTCAAGATAATAGAATTTCCTTCTTAAAGTATGATACGATGAAAATCCAAAAATTGTTATTCTAGAAAGAATACAAAAAATTAAGGAGTTCATTAATCAAGCATCAAAAAGTTTCATTTTCTATAATAAAAATGAGATTTTGAGAACAGAAACTTATATATTTTATGCATATATGATAATTAAAAATAAATGTATACTGTCATGTATTATTAATTTATATGATTTATTAAGCATTTTGAGAACAATATTCTGAGACTGAAAAAAGTTATACTTGGAGTTATTCACAATTTCTGATCATTATTACTAAAGTTATAATTAAGAAAAAAACCTCCTGGTGCTGTTATATAAATTGCAAAATAAAAAAATTTTTTATTAATATTCAAATTCTAATACAAATCCAGAATAGTAGAAATATATTGTAGAAAATAAATAATGTAATATGAAATTGCTTGATACATTTTGTTCTTAGATTTTATGCTTCTCATAAACATATCAATAATAATAGCCAAGATAACTGTATTTTTAAATAGTTTCTATTAGAAAAGATTAAAAAATTGAGAATACGTAAAATCTATAGGTTATTTAAGTGAAAAATCTCTACAATGAATATAAGTAAAGAAAATAACAAATCATACTTCTTTTTTATGGGTTTTTAGTTATACATCTCAAATCATTTTTAGATAAGTTTCTTTGTCTTCATTTTTACTAAGATTATTGTAAAACATAAGCAAAGTTTCAGATAAATTATCAAGAGTCCTTTGTAAATCTTTTAATAATTCTAGTTCAGTTGGTAAAAGTGTTTTTGCAGAACTTTTTACATTTTCTTTGCATTAGTTATACTCATATTGAAATATATGATAGAGGTAATGTTGAAAATGATTAATACTTTATCTGTAATAATTTTTATTTTATAATATCAACTGAAAATTATGTTATCATAAAATATATTGCACATGACATTTTTTTGGCATTACAGCATTAAGAAATTACTTATGTGATGAATAAAAGGAACAAATATGATTTCATATCCTGAAAAATTCTGTTTTTAGAATACTTATGAAAATAGAAAATATGAAAAGTATGATACAAGGTGATAAGTACTTCTATGATCACATAAGGTAAAAATTTATTAGTAAAATCTTTATCAATATTGTCTAACTTGAAAGAAATAACCTTTTTTATAAGATAGTTTCAATAATAATACTGGTAATTTAAATCATCAAAAGCTATATAAATACCAATTTCACAAACCGCCTTTCATTAATATTAAATAATAAAAATCAACTTACTTTAAATTAGTAGTTTAACCTATTTATATAATCTTCTTAAAATCTTTAATTCTTCAATTATTTTACCAAATTTCAGTTCTTATTTATATAAAATTTCATAACTTTACTTATAAATTTTCAGTTTTTATTAGACTAATTTTTTAATATAAGTATAAATTTGATTTTGTCTATATTTTTCCTTCTTTATTTATATTTAAAACTATAAAAATGATTTTATTATCAGTAATTTACTTTCTAGCATTTTATCTTCAATATATATATATTCATATACATTAAGATCTTTTTTAGAAATTGAAGAAGTAATAATATCAAGTTTCTTAATTTTTCTATCAAACTAAAAAATAAATATATATTAGAAAACTATCTTATATAATATATTATTTAAGATTAATTATACTTTACTTATCAAAAACTATTATATCATAGTCTTCAAATTTATTAATTTTGTTATTTAATGAAAGAATACCTATTTTTTTCAGAAATTTAAAATTGTTTATAATAAAACTATTAATTATACTTTAGCTATATTTTATAGAGTATTATAAATAATATAATTATCAAGTTCTTCTATAATATCACTCTATATATTATCATATATATTAATTTAATTTTAAATAAAAAAATACTTGTAATAATATTTGAAAAAATAAATAATTTCTGTATTATATAATTAAAGTTTTATAATAATATTTAATAGAAGAAATTGCATATTTATACTATTTAAATTTTCTTAAATTTCGTTCAAAATAAGGTTGCTTATCTAAACTCATTTAGATTTAGCAAAATGTTTAAATTATAGTTTTGCTAAATTATTACTAATGTTTTGATATAATTTTGCATTTTTATAAGCTTTGATATAATTTTATCTTTTTCAGAATTTTGCAGATTTTTTAATAAGATTTTA